CCCTTGCACTACACCCCCTCCAATACCGCCGCCAATTCCGCCGCCGACGCCAAGACCGCCCATGATCCCGCCCTGCGTCGGCGTCGGCGTATGACTCTGCACACTTCCGCTCCTCCCCGATCCCGAATCATCGCTCGGCCGCGCAAGGCTCGACTGGTGCCCGTGCCCGTCGGCCGACTCGGAGATGGAGTTGTTACTGCCCTTATCCTTATGCTTATCCCGGTCCTTCCGTCCGCCAAAGAACTTGGACAACAACCCCGTGCTCTTGCCGCGTTTACCGCCCTCGTCGTCGCTGCTCGCGCTCGGGCGCTCTTTCGTGAGCTTTGCGGGCCCGCGGGGTTGGTGTTGGCCGGGCTGCGGGCTGAGCGGCGCGGGGGATTGAGAGGTGGAGAGGGCGGATTGGGATTGGGATTGCGCGGTGGGCTGGGCGGCGCGCGCCTTCTTGCGCGCGGCGTCTTCGAGCGCCTCGATCTCCTCGCGCGTGCGCTTGCGGTCGTCCTCCTGGCGCGCCATGATCGCGCTCGGCAGCAGCGGCCCCTGCGCCTGTCCTTGAGAGGTGGGGGATTCTTGGGCGATGGAGGGCGTGGCGCTGATCTTGCGCTCCGGCGCGGTCGCGGGGTCGAGAGTGAGCGTGCGCGTGGGCGAGTCGGCGATCTGCTCGCGGCGGACTTGGGTTTGTTGTTGGGCTTGAGCTTGGGCTTGGGCTTGGGCGATGGCGGTGGCCTGTTGCGCCTGAATTTGGGCTTGTTGTTGCCGGCGCTGTTCCTCAATCTGCGCCTGGCGCTGCGCCTGCATCCTCTCCGCCTCGACGATCTTCTCCTGCGCCTCGGCCCTTCTCTCCTCCTCGCCCGCGTCCTCCCACTCCGCATCGCTCATATCCATCTCGCCGCGCCCGTCTCCCCCCACGTCCCACTCGCCCGCATGACCTCCCATCCCACCCCCATTTCCACCTCCAAGTCCACCAGGTCCAAACCCGTCGTCGCCGTCGCCGGGGTGGACGAGCCGCTCCTGCGCGTACTGCCCGACCTCCCACTCGTCCTCGCCGTCCGTCTCGTAGTCCTCGTCCGCCTCGTCCAGGTCGCGCCAGATCGCGGGCGGGTAGCGCGAGAAGTAGGCGCTGCGGTCGAAGATGACGGAGCGCGTTCTGTTGCGCCGGGTGGAGGAGGGCGTGGGGGAGGAGGGCGACTGGGAGGGGGAGGCGCCCGTTGTGCGGGCGGAGAGGAAGCGGTCGCGCGAGTCTTGCAGGCCGGATTGCATTTCGGCTTGGGTTGCGCTCGCAAGCTATAATATCATATATCGTTAGTATAGAGTATATGAGCAGGGAGGGGGAGAGTACATACGTCGACGTTACGATGCTTATTGAGCCTCGCAAGCCGCTCAAACGGCGTCTCGATATTCTCCGCCGGTATATACCCGATCTCCTGCGTCTTGAGCACCCTAACGAGCCACCAATAGCTGTTCGTGTCGTCCATGAGCACCAGACTGTCGCCCTTGACCACGCTCGCCTGGCCCTCGACCGTCGCCGCGAAGCTGTGCAGACTGTACACCAGGTCAAAGTCTATCGACTCGTTGGGGATGGAGAGCGAGGACGAGCGGTCGTCTTCGTCGCTGAAGCGCTCGTCGGCGTCGTTCTCGGCGTCGCTGTCGTCCTCGATCATGCTGTGCTGCGCGTCTTCGAGCATGTCTTCGGACGGGTCGTCGTCGGAGTAGGCGACTGTGTGCTGGATTTGGCCGAGGTGGGTCTGGTCGTCTGAGTCGGCGTATTGGAGCTGGGCGCGCAGGTCGAAGGTGTCTTGGCGCCGGGCCATGCTGAAGACGGGCTATATCTATATGCTAGCGGGGGAATAAGAAGTCTGTTGGGTAAATGGTTAGTGTGATGAGAAGCGGGAGGTATTGCGGCCGTTGGGCTTACCCGAAATGAATGAGGTTGGGCTGAGGGCTAAGCCTCAGGATAGAGAGGGAGGGAGCAGGGAGGGGAAGGCGTGGCGCTGTCACGGCCGTTGAGAGCAACCGTCAGGTTCGCGACGGAGGGACCGACCCGGTACCGGGATGTCGCGTGGGGAGCGGGTGATGCGTGTGGGCGTGTGTGGGTGCGGTGATGCTATCTGCTTTTCTGTTTGCAGTCTGTTTGACAGTTTCTGCGTACTAGCTGCACGTTACGACTTCAAGATACAGGAGGGTACAAAGTTTGTTGCCGTAGAGGACAGACAGTACCATCAGCCTAAAATGCTTACATAACCCAAATACGCGCCCAAACTTCCCTCCTCACGCGTCGCGACGCGTCTTCCCTCCTCCCACCCACCCTCTCCCCCACTCCCCCACTCCCCTCCCCTTCCCCTTTCTCCTCCCAAACTCAACTACTCCAAAAATGGCATCAACACCCTCAGCATCAACATCTGCCATCCCCTCGACATCCACATCAACAAGCACACCAAACGCCACAACGCGCTCCTCGCGCGTCGCGCCCCACAGCCACATCAAAGGCCTGGGTCTGAACGCGGAGGGGTTCGCGAGCGATAATGCGATGGGGTTCGTGGGGCAGGGTAATGCGCGCGAGGTACATCCTCTCCCTTACCTCCCACAATCTAATCTATTCCCAACTCCCTTCGCTCACCTATGTCCTCGCCTACGCTCTGAACGGTCTCGCTGACGCTCGCCCCACACAGGCCTGCGGCGTCGTAACAGACCTAATCCGCACCCGCAAATTCTCCGGCCGCGCCCTGCTCCTCGTCGGCGCGCCCGGGACGGGCAAAACGGCGCTCGCACTCGCCCTCGCGCACGAGCTGGGCGTCAAGGTCCCGTTCTGCCCCATGGTGGGCAGCGAGGTGTACAGCACGGAGGTGAAGAAGACCGAGGTGCTGGCTGAGGTGTTCCGGCGCGCGATCGGTGCGTCTCCCCCTCATATGGTTATTATTGGAGAGAGAGAGAGAGGGCTGATGGTGGGGGTAGGACTGAGGATTAAGGAGACGAAAGAGGTGTACGAGGGCGAGGTTACAGAGTTGACGCCAAGCGAGGCGGAGAACCCGCTGTCAGGGTACGGCAAGACGGTCGCGCACGTCGTCGTGGGGCTCAAAACGGCGAAAGGGACGAAACAGCTAAGATTGGACCCGAGCGTGTACGAGGCGATTCTGAAGGAGAAGATTGTCGTGGGGGATGTGGTGTATATCGAGGCTAATACCGGCGCCGTCAAGGTATCTTCTTTTCAACCGAGAGTGGATATTGGGATGAGGGGGCTGATTGAATTGTGTAGCGCGTGGGCCGGAGCGACGCCTACGCCTCCTCCTACGACCTCGAGTCCGACTCGTACGTCCCGCTCCCCAAGGGCGACGTGCACAAGAAAAAGCAGCTCGTGCAGGACGTCACGCTCGGCGACCTCGACGCGGCCAACGCGCGCCCGCAGGGCGGCCAGGACATCATGAGCGTCATGGGCTCGTTGGTTAAATCAGGGAGGACGGAGGTGACGGATAAGCTGAGGCGGGAGGTGAATAAGGTCGTGAAGGGCTATGTGGATCAGGGCGTCGCGGAGGTCGTGCCGGGGGTCGTGTTTATCGACGAAGTCAGTGCCCATCCCCATTATATCTTGAGTGTGTGGCGCTGATTGAGGGAAAAGGTGCACATGCTGGACATCGAGTGCTTCACGTACCTCAACGCGCTCCTCGAGTCGCCCATGGCGCCGACCGTCGTCCTCGCCACCAACCGCGGCAACGCGCTCGTGCGCGGCACGGCGGACGTCGTCGCGCCGCACGGTGTGCCCGTCGACCTCCTCGACAGGTGCTTTCTCTTCCTTTTCTCCCCGTCCTCTACCCCTCTCCTTGCACTCTTCCTCCCTCTTCTCTCTTCTACGCGGCTGGGAGAAAGAGCTGATACAATCGCACAGATGCCTCATCGTGAAAACCGAAACCTACGCCCGCGCCCAGATCGCCCAAGTCGTCCAAGTCCGCGCGGCGGTCGAAGGGATCCAGCTCGGCCCGGGCGTGCTGGACAAGCTGGCCGAGGAGGGCGAGCGGGCGTCGTTGCGGTGCGTCCCCCTTCTTCCCTCTTCCCCCTCTCTTCACTGCTCCCCCTTCCTTATTACCCCACCGCTCTCTCCATCTCCCCTTTCGCACGTCTTCGCCGATGGTTCAGAACGCTGACGTCGATACAGGTACGCATTACAGCTGCTCGCGCCGGCGGCGATACTGGCGCGTTTGGCCGGGCGGGACCAGGTGTTGCCGGAAGACGTGGGCGAGATGGGCGGGCTGTTTTTGGATGCGAAGAGTAGTGCGGGGATGTTGGGGGAGGGGGGCGGGGAGATGATGCGGTGAGGACGCGACAAGAGAAACGATGCCCATGTGTTCAGTGTTGTTTGAACAAGGACGCTCGCGTGTTGGAGCAATTGTATCTTGCTTTCGAGTTGCGCTGTGCTTTGCCGTACTTTATGTGCGATATGTGACGCTTTGTTAGGCTTTGGATTCGGATTCGTGATCGCCGCTGCCGATGATATGATAGTGGTCGGTCACCGTGCCGTTTCGGGTATGCCTCGGGCATCAGCCTGAGGCGCCTTCTCTTCCCGCGATCAATCATTCTCGGGAAGAATTGAGGCTTACAGCTGTTTTCAATGAAGTGCGGAAACGCGAATCGCGTTGACGTGTCCGACGCGTCCCCAGGTACGACTCCGAGGCCGGACGATCAATGGCCCAAACCGCGTTCACCCCCAGACAAGCTAGCACTTTCAACAGTAGGCTCTACTTATGACCCTTCGGGACAGAGGACTGAGTCTTGCGCACACCATGATAGGCCCGGGGAAGAGAAAGAAGCCCTGTAGTCAAGTGGGAGGCGCCGGGGATCGAACCCGCGCCTTCGTGGAGGCGCATTTGCCGCTGACCCACGCCTTGGGAGGTCGCGCGCGGCGCGAATCTCGTTTCCGCACTGCGCTGACAGGAAAACGGCTGTAAGTATCTCATAACACTTTCATCTGTCATAGCTTTTGACTTTCACTAACTGTATGCTATCGTTGCAGCTGCGCAAGACGATCGGCCACTGACTTTCTGCACACAGAGAGGCGCCCTCCGCTCACGCGAAGATGACATTGAGCGCCGAGACGGCTCGGTGGGGCCTCGACGATCAAGGGCCTTTGTTCCCTCCGAGACGGCGGTTTCGGTATAACGTCCTTGTACTGAAGTCGTTCATGCGAGATGAACGGCTCGCAAGCACGGTCTGAGGGAGAATTGACGGTCTATGCCGCTGTGGCACATCACGCGGCGTGTGAGGTAAAGCGGTGCAAAGATCTGTGTGTAGAACGACGGGTGGCCTATCGTTTTGGAAGCAGCTGTCACATGGATACGCGACACCGTCAAGTACACAGCCAACGTATCAGCGATGCATCTGTGACATCACGCGCACTATACAGTAAAAGGGTAAGGCATATCTTCTTCCGGGTTGAGAATGATGCAGGGCTGCCGCTTTTGCTTGTCAAGATTCTGACTGGCGTGAAACGGTTCGGAGTGGGGAACGGAAAGGAGTTGTGGACGTGCGCTTACACCCGCTACATCTGGCGGCGTCCCCATGACCGTGACTGTTGTTGTGATACCCGTGCTGATCGTCAGCGTAGCAGTTCGCCCTCTTCAGCAGTTCGGTCCCCTTTCAGAATGTTGCTGTGTAGCAATTGCACGCGGACCCTGCGGTTCTGCATATAAGGACTCGTTTGTCGCCGCCTGCGAAGCGGCAGTCATCACTCCAAGAACCATGCCGGACTGGAATAGCCCACACGCGTTGGAATCGCAGGCGGGTGAGTTGCTCCCTTTGCGCTTCTCCGCTCAGATGAGAAGCTGATATGCAATGATGACAGTTGCGCTGCAGAGGCTATCACTCGTGTTCATCGGGATCTACTTGTACGTGGTGCTGTACCCCGAACTCAAACTCTCCTCGCTTATGTATATCGCTGTCAGCTACGAATTCGCGCATTGGATGGGCTTCGACTGGATGCTATTGACGAAGAAAGAGTCAAAGCGCACGGTCCTAGCCAGGAGCGTCAAATGGGTGAGAGTGATAGTCACGAGAGAATGGAGCGATGAAGTTAATATGTGATGCTGATCGATCAACAGATCTACATCGCATGCAGATACACAACACTGGCTGCATGCATCTGCCTTGCCTTTATGAATCTGTCGTATGTCTCTTTCAACTGCCAGGTAATCTCGGTGTTCTTCCTTTGCAGAAACACTGGCGTCTGATATGCATATGGCAGGCGTTCATGGTCATCCTCAATGTGCGCTTACCGCTTGCTTCCCGCGCGATCGTTACTGGCTTCACTAAACTCGTCTTTCTCAGCTGACTGGATTCCTCACGGCAGCCACTGGAACGTTGCTACTCTTCGTTAGGGTGTGCGTAGTTCTGAAGTGTGTCTTTGTCAGCGGCATAGCTGACGAAGTACCAGAGGAGTCATCTGGGAGTGGAGGAAGTGGGTCACTGTGACCTTCTCCCTTGTATACCTAGCCTCAATCGCCTTCGCTTTACGCTGTGAGTCTTCGCAACCCTCATGATCTCAACTATACCGCTCATCGCATACTCACAGCTGTCATATTGGTACAGTGGACTTGATCATATCTTCCTCGAGTCGCACACCGATTCATCTTCGCCTGTTGACAGATTCGCGCAGTCTATGAGTCGAGCCCCATCGGCTCGTTCTGCGCCACAACGTCGGCTTTTGGGTTGAACAGACGGAACATACTCTTAACGCTCATCATGGACGTCGGTTTGGTTGTGTCGCTGTTCTGGGGGTTGACGCGGTGGGGCGAGGCGCGCCATGCGGGCTCTAGTGTATGGCTCATCCTGTGGAATCAGGTCAGTCTGCGTTCGGCTGCGGATATGTGAAGATGATGGCTGACGTGCAAGTTAGAACATGACATACTTGGTGCTTGCGATAGCTTTGGAAGTACCAATGACGGTGACTCAAGCTTGTCGTTGAGCTTCGGTCGGCACTGAGCAGAAGTATGATAGGTCTTCTTCTTCCTCAATTACAATGGTGTGTCTTACCTGCATCCGCGAGCCTTGTATGGAATGACTGATATAGCTTCAATAGAGTTCATGGATCTGGTACCTGTTGCGCTTAAACGCAGTGGTTAGGCCATGCTGATGCTTGTCTAGATGTTCACTGTACCGGAGAGTGAGTCCATGCGATATTCGAAGCTGATCACAAACTCATAACATCGCGCGATAGCTATGATCCTGTTCGTGTCAACCTTTACCTGATCCGTACAGTCGAAATGTGCCCCTGACGTTCCTGCAGACCCATCGCTGCCACGCGGTTCTATCGCTCGTTGACGAACTTCACAGGCAATCGCAACAACCACGCTTACGAGTCAACGTGTGTTCTCGCTCTTTATCGCTGGGTGCTTCCTGCTGATCAGGTATACGCAGTGTTGTTCAGCCTCGGGTGCCACGAGTAGACATCAGAGCACGGAAGGATGCGCGCACTGAGAATCTGTTCATAGTGAACGGTGGCGATATGATGATGTCTGAGATCGTGAAGTAGGCCATCTGCAATCGCGAGTATGGTGTATTCTCCGACGAAAGAAGACTGTACATACTTCTTCTTTCTACGACATGTTGAGGATAAGGACGGTGTATTGAGTGATGTAATCCGAGTTACGTGGTATCCGAAGGTAGAGGGATCCCTTCAGGCCGCCATCTCAAGTCGACCCCCGCGTCCCTCGCTCCCTCGCGCACCCTCCAACGTGCCGGAACGTAGACGTACACCTCCCCATCATCATCATCCACGACATCCTTCGGCGCCTCCCTCTCATTCTCCGGGATCTCCTCGAAGAACCGCTCTCGGTGCTCGGCGGAGAGGCCTTCGATGCGCTCGTTGGCCTCCCTGTATCCGTACCATGGACTCGGTGCGTAGTCCGAGAGATATAGAGACGGAATATGCCAGGATTCGCGACTGAAGAGCTTGCGTGCGCGCATTACGGATGATCCGAGCGGCCCGACGGAGGACGGGTTCTCCATTATCTCCTTGGGCGTGTACGTTGCGGATATGCCGAAGTCGATGATCACCGGGTGATCATAGTCGTAGTCCAAGCCGCCAGGAGTACGGCGGAGCATGACGTTGCGAAGGAAGATGTCGTCGTGCACGACCAGCGCGTCACGCATAGCCCGTACGGATGTCAGAGTGCCCTGCGTCACGCGCTCGGCTTGTTCGGCGGATATAGTCTCGCCTAACACGAAATGCTCAAGCGTGACGCCGTCGATGTACTCTATCGCGACGCCGGCGACCACAGAAAGAAGTGGTTCGGATTCGTCGGTGTTCATAAGGACTGAATCGTAGAGTCGAGGGATTTGTGTGCCCTGCAGGGACCGGAGAGCGGCGTATTCCGGGGCTCGAAGAGAACCGGTTTGCAGGACACCATAGCGTTCACTGGGCCGGGGCATTCCGCAAGTCATGTGCCGTGAAGCCGTATGATTGGCTCGAAAGCGTCGCGCGCGTCTTTCGCTCGCGTCGCTCGCAGACGCAACTGTCCTCCTGCCATCGTCTCCCTGTTGCTTGTCTGGTGTCATTCTGCCCTCGCTCTCTTCCGAGGCCAACTAGCAATTAGTTTGTACCGATTCTTCGCCTTTTATCCCTCTATGCTCTCACTTCATTCCTCCTCTTCATGGAATTTTCATCAAAAAATCTCACCTCGATACTCCGCCACACGCGTTTACAAACCCTTGCGCGTCAGACCTCACGCGCTCACATTCGTTCACTCTATACCTCTCACGATATTATGTACCGACAATACATTTTTTGATCTCAGACTAGATCAAACTATCCCTGCCCTTCGCTTCCATCCTGCCAAGCTCTTCCGCTTTCCCGCTCACACAACACACTCCTACCACTTCCTACACCCAAACGCGTTCGAGTTTCATCTCCCATATATCCGATCAAACCATCATAATTGGCGCCACTGTGCTTGTAGAGCAATACGCGATGGGGTAGAGCATGTTCATGCACCGATTGAGGCGTGTTGACGCAAAAAATGCGCTGTTGGCGTGAAGTCCGAATTGAGGGGAGAGATGCGCGCTGAGAAGATACCCAAAAGCTGTCAAGAGGTTGTGCATATGTATTGGTAATGCTATCGGCTCGAAGCAAGTGTCCTGGGAGCATGCAGCATTGTCTTGCATCGATCATGCGCGCGAGGGACAGCTCGATACATTGTCCGGTGTTCTGCTGGCTGGGACAACACCGCCGGCGACGCGTCGGGTAGAGACTATGTAGCCAGCACCGATCCGGCCCTTGGGAGCGATAGACGGGTAATATGCCGCAGAACGGCATCCAATATGATGCTCGCGTATCATCGTTGACTACAGCGAATAATGCATGCCACCCGAGGGCTTTCTATCGCAGCCTACGGTTGAAGCTCAGTATGGCCTCGGCTTCGAACTTGTGCACAGACTTCTCATCGACAACCATCACTTTGCGATACAGATACAGCCCAATACGGCCCTTGGGATTAGCGCTCTATTGAGAAGTCGCTTAAATCTCGACTCGGAAGTGCGCACTACTTGGTACACATGTGCAGTTGGTATTGGATCTGCGTCCTGAAGCAGAACTGTGAGTGCTTGGACAAATGGTAGGGTCACTAAAGCTCAGTAGAGCCCCGGTAATGCCCAGGAGGGGCTGTGACAGTGCTTGGACTTCGTTTTCGTGTTGACATTGCGCGACGTGGTAGTGCCACATGTCGTTGTCGAAGTCCGTGAACTCGTGATCGGCAAGATTCGGCATCGATGTCCGAACGAGGATCCCCCTCGCGGAGCGGGCTTCCGCCCGCGATATACATCGGCCACTCGTTGGGCCATTCACCGCTTTTAACCCGGCGTACGCCCTCCGCAAACGTGGTGCGCGTTCGGGTAGTCCAAACTCGGTCAGGCGTGTCGTCCAACCAGAGCATATCGTGTCGCGGCGAGAAGCGTATGTCCAAGAGCTTGAGAACGAAGAGTTCTGGGAGTTGAAGGGTGGGGTGGGTCGAAAGGGGTCGAACGAGTAGGACTACGGTGACGGTGAATGGTGTGAATGCCTTGAGGATCTCAACTGTGACCGCGTAGGTCTTGGAGTCGCGTTGAAATGAGATGCTCAATCGAGATCCTGGTAGGTATGGGCTCGGTAGAGGCGGAGAGATAGAGTAGTCCCGGTATCTCGCCAGGGGGTCGTACACAGCAGAGTTGGAGTACGCCCTCTTCACGTTTGGTTTCCTGAGTGATGTGCGACTTCAGTCAAGGCCCCACACATGTAGCAAGCCTCAGTACCTGGAAGTTATTGTAACAGCCGCAGACCTTGAAGTCTTAGGGCAATATGGGTGACTGCTCCGATAGAGGGTCAAGTGGGACCCCCTCAGTGTGACCGCCTGTGTGCTGTAACGATTCGGAGACTTGGACAAGTAGGCGAGTGTGTGCTCCGAGTTCCTATGGCGTGAGCTGCGTAGTACACTCCCTTCGCTCTGAGAGACATCTCAAGCACGGGCTGTGCCTTGTCGCGATGAGACAATGGCAGGCGCCGAGGGATGGAGGAGGCGAAGGTGTAGTGCTTGACGACGACAGATCACAATCGGGGAGACCCGGGCGGGGCTGATTCGCTCGAGCAGCAGACATGCGCCACAGATGAGGTTTGCACCATGCTAGTACTGGTCACCTTTTGTCATAGTAGGCCTCAAGCTCATATCGAGGCGGGCCTGGTGATGGAAGAGCGCGAAGGTTGACGGTCGTGTTCACGGACGAACCTCACGGAGTCCTCTAGGATGAGGTTAGGGTTATGACGCCATTCGCGTGGCTGCAAGCGAGCTGCAACACGCGCAAGACCGCAGCTTGTCCAAACACCACCACGACGGGCTATTCGCTTCAGTCCATTCTACGAGGCAATATACCTGGCTCGCATCTCATAGGACTGTTCATCGTGACCTCAATCCTCGATCAGTTCGATTGCCTCGTCAATCCGAGGCAGACTTGATCTATCGATCCGCGACTCCGATGCTCTTGTTGCTGCCTCGTGCCCTACAGCAGTGGCTCGTAAGGCTTCTACACTATACGATCTTGAAGTCGAGGTTCTCTCCGTTCGGAAGCTTAGACAGGTGTCCCGCATGACTGCCGTTGCTACTGGTCATCGATGGACGCGCTTGAGTGCATATGGGCAGTCTTTGCGCCGCGTAGTTCTTCGTCGGCGCGTATGCGCCCTTTCGTGACTCTGCGGACATGTTCTCGGGTCATCTCCAACTGCCGCATTGCCGCCTGGAAGCCTTCCCGCACCTCACCTGACGTGGTGCCACCAGGAACGTCCCTGCCGACTAATCTACTGCAAAGGGCAGTTACGCCGCTCAGAGAAGCCGAGGGTACCGGCGCGTAACGGCCTATCCCATAACAAGGTTTTGCGTGCGCTCGCTATCGTCCCAAGGATGTTGGGATCGCTGAAAGGCGCCCACGCAGACAGGTTGCGCCCTTGTTACACGGTCATGAGGCTCACACAGTGCTTAGGATCATCCGCGCAGCTTTCTAGCGGTCTCAATCTCCGCGGCCGGGATGAAGTGGACTGGTTCAACGGGTTCATGTCCGTCATTCGAGGAGCCTTTTCCTTGAGCGCCATGCATCGTGAGGCTCATTCACGGCTGGATGCACGTTGGTCACCAGGAGGGTGCTATAGACTCCCGATTGAACACTAGATCTCTTGCATCGGCGGACGTTGTTCGCTATCTGATAGTGTGGTACTTTGCAAGCCTTCTCTCGGTCCTTGAGACAGGCCACGCCATCTCGCTACACCTTCCAAGCAAGATTGAAGGCTATGACGAGCAACTGGCGTTAGCATGATACGTTCTGCGCGTGCACGACGACAGATACCAAACATATCGCGCGGCGCTGACCGTCATTCAAGTCATATGTCGTGCCATATTCCGATGATGGCAGGTGCATCGACTCGTATCAGTTCCGCAAAGCAATTGTGTGCGGGAACACGGGACGCAGACAGCAACGATGGTGTGAGATGCGCTCCCAGACTTTCCCTGCCAGGATCGTGCGATGCTAGTCGACCTGCGCAGTACCCGATGCCCACGCGATGCAGTGCGAGCGCTTCTCTTCGCAGCGCGAATGGGGCAGAGGCGATAACCGCACTCAATGCGCGGCGGCGCCCGTCGAGAACACGGCGCCAGAGCTCGCCCACGCAAGCTACCGCGCATTCGAACATCAACGGCATGTCCGCGCCGAAATCCTCAGGACATCAACCCATCGACCCTGATATGTCTCTTAAACCTCTAACATGCCGCGCCTCCAGTCATTCGCCGAGCCGGTGCTTTGTTCTCGCATCGACCTACCATCCCATATGGCGTTACTGGGCGCCACTAACTGCACGCCAAGTTGTATCGCATCTGTGGCTCGACAGGCTTCTGAGCGCTAGCAGGTCCGCACCTGCCGGATTCTGCTGATGGCAACTACAAGGGTCTTCTCATCGCAGGGTTCGATACCTGGCAGGGAAGAAGAACTGGTGCTTCCTCTCAGATGACCTGGTGGCGCGCGACTACCTCTCTTCTCGCTCTCGCGCAGGTACACAGAACACTGGGCGGGTATAGTGTCGCGATACTCGTCATACAATCCGAAGACGGCCATTGGGGGACCTCCGCGAGTACGCGATCTTGCGGGTTGTGCGTCACTGTCCTTCGAACAGAGGCACCTACGAGTGAGCATCAGGGCAGGCCGGCGGCTGGCGACTTGTTACAGCTGCCCTGACTCCAGAACCGGACTAGTGAACTTGTCGACAGGCTTAATCGAAGAAAGGATCTACTGGGCTTCTCGAAGGCGGGTCTACACATACAAGCTTCCCATATTGGGAATCTTCTCAGGCGCCAGGCCCACTCGTGGTCCGGTAGACTGTTGGTCCGTCCTCGCCCTCGCGCAGTATAAAGCGGGTCTCCGCAATTATGCGATCTACATCCCGAGCACTCCCGCTTTCCTCATATGCGATTCTGACTCCCTTTGTTCTGACTCTTCTGACTCACGATTCGAACATTGAACCTCTACTGCCATCATGACAATCAAAGGACCGCCACCGACATACTACTTCGAGGATCGTACAGGACACCTCGAATCCGACTGGGACGAGGTGTACGAGCGGAGCTTTCTTCGCGTGTCTGCAACGCCGCAACGCACACCGAACGCATCCCTCATGGTGTATGACATGGCCCAACGCTCGACTGCACAAGGCGACCGCGACCGGCGACACTACTATAGGGAACCGGTGGTGACGCTTGACTTCGGTCCTCGCGGTGCATTGGGTACTGTACACTTCAGGAAGGGCATCCCATCCGTGTCCATGCACCAATACCTGCGCAAGACGTCCTACTTCGGCAGGTAAGTTTTCCATGCGTGTACTTGGCATGTAAGGTCCGTGTTTGACGTGCGGCCCAGGTCACTAAATCGACAGTTCCGGGCGCTGGACGGCAATATGTACCGTTGGAATCACCGGATGGAGCCAGGGCATGAGTGGACGGTGCGTGGACCTTCGCTGAATGTACGGTCTAGACCCTGGGGCTTATATCCGAGGACAGTGCGTGAATGCGGAAGGCTCGGCTCTCGTCGCACGGTACACTCTTAAGCCTGCGGACCGCCCTGCGTATGGCGTCTCTGGCAACGTGCTTGCTGTCTTCGAGCCATACGCGTCCTTATCAGCCGGTGAGTCTCCGCATGGTCTGCGGTGCTCACAACGCATGCTGACGTCGCGCCGATGTAGAGATCCTAGCCTCGCTGACCATCATGCGCCACATCGCCCAAAACAATCTGTGAACGAAGTCGCGTTGCCCCTGCCGTGCTCCGTCCGAAAGTTCCGCCTTCTCTGCATCCTCCGGGCCGCGTCCTTGCTATTCATCAGTCACCACGCCCTGCCCCAAAAGTTACGCTACGCACCTCTAGCCATCGCGCTTCCTATTCCCATCTTCGACTGCCGCATCCATCCACTTTGCTCTCACGCTGTTCCACGCATGACTCTCGACCATTTTCCAGCTTATCATTGTTATCAGAAGAAACATGACGTGTGCCCTGTACAATACCTCATCTTGCTATCCCATGTGTCCCAATGCGGTTGGTAGCGGATGGTGTAGGTTCAAGACGGCACCCGTTCGCCGCAACGTTGGAAGCTGGTGGCCTCTGCGTCGTGGCCCAACGGAAGGACACAGCGCCATAGAGATGTCCCTCGATCCCTTCGGCCACAACCTGCGGACAGTCTCTCAAGCAGACGAAGCGGACTGCACGACGTAGACGAGAAATGTTTGATAGAGCTAATCCGATCACAGAAGCCCTCCTACCACCTATACTCATCCTACTAGCTACGCACTGTTGCGCGGCATTGACTGCTCAGAAAGGGAAGCGGCGAGGATCTGAGATAACGACAACGGGATTATATATGTTGGACCCTAGATAAGAAAAGGCACTCAGTCGGTGAAGTCCAAGATAAGCAGATGCCGCGGGTGGGCGAAGGCGGGACGCGAAGTGCGAGCCTCGTGTACGCGATCTGATCGGGAAATGCCGGAAGAGATGAACTCTAATACAGACCCGATACAGATGAAGAGCTACATAGTATGTATACACACATACGGGTAACCAGACCCGTCTAAAAGTATTAGTACGCATGCGAGACGAATAAAGTGTGTGATCGCCTCCAAAATCAAAGGCGGACGAGGAAACGAGCAATTTCTTGCGCGCCCAAGACGTTGATGGGACTAACAAGGGAGATGTGGGCGTCGGGACGGATGAGCACCGCACAGCCCTCCGGCTGGATGTCGTATAAGCTGTAGACCCCGGTGGTAGACAACTCCATGTCCGCAACGTCGGGCACCATTGAGTCGTCGACATAGACGCTGTAGATTTCCCATCAGTAAGAGCGCAATATATAGATATTGTCACGGTAACGGCTTACCTCATGGGGTCGCGAACGGATTCCGGCGCCTCCGTCCAGTGCGACCAAAGCTTCAGATCCGAGAAGATGGCGAATAGTTTGAGGACCTCCCGCTCCGGCGCAGTCCAAGACCTTAGCTCTTTGAACAGCGTGGAGACGAAAGAGTCGACCATGGTCACAGAGTAGCGCATCTCGCCAGGGAAGAGAAGAAGCTTGAAAGTGCAGTCGGCTTGGAGCAAGTCGTGCGTGTTGCGCGGGCGCCAGTCGGAAAGGCGCAGGATGGCGGCCGGCGGAAGGCGCTCTCCCGGCGTCAATCTGGGCGCTAGCGGCGAGGGCTTCTCGACGGGTGTGAGGGGCGAGTGGTAGCAGACACCCACGCCGGTGATGAAACGATTCCTCTCCTCCCAGATTCTGCGTGCTATCAGAACAAAATGTCCACTAGAGCGCATCATGAACCCACTTTTTGTAGAATCGAGCATTATTTCGTCCATGGCTGATAGCCGTGGCGATGTCTCGGTCGATGGCAATGAGGTCGCTGGCGTACTTTTTACGTTCGGCTTCGTATGTGACGAGCAACGTCGGCTTAGCCCAACCGCGGATAACGAAGGCGAGCTTCCACGCTGCATGGTGTTAGCTATAACACAACGGCAACAAAAACGACAACGCACCAAGGTTGAAGCTATCTTTCATAGCGGCGTTGGCTCCCTGTCCAGTTTTTGCAGAGTGCGTGTGTCCTGAGCCAGTCAGTCGCTGCAAGGCTCGACAGTTGGCTGTGCTCACCAGCATCGCCAGCGATGAAGACGCGGTTCTTAGCGGAGAAGGACGATGCAACGGCTTGGATAACTACGACGTGTGAGAGCTACGAAAGACCCTTCGCAACAATGGAATCACCTTTGTATGTGCTAATCCAGTCGCAGTCCTTGATCTTGAGGGTGTACGGGCGGAAGACGTGGTCAACCACGTTCGATATTGCATCAAGAAACGCGGCGCGCGAGGTTGTCCGGGTGTCTACCTTACTTGACAGCGGGACATAGAGACGTGCCTTGCTGTCTGGGCGCGGAATCCACTACACACGGAATGTGAGTGGTAAGCGGGGCAGGCGTGGGGCGTCAAGACGCACGAATATCATTCCGCGATCTGGCGTTGAGATGACAGCCTTGACCATCGTGTCGGGGAAATCACTATCAGACTGATGTGTCAATGATCTGCGCATGAGCTATAACGGGAACGCACGTCTCAGGCGTGAACGTCAGGACACCCCAGTTTACAGCCTGATCATCTAAGGCAATGTTAGCGCCGTAGCCTTGCATGTACACGCCGCCGCGCACCTCGTTCTCTCCTCTCCAACTTGATGCCCACCTTCTCGCGCACCCATGACCGAGCGCCGTCACATCCGACTACGTACTTGGCGTAGATGGTACGCTTCCGCTGAGTCCACTTACTGTCGGCCGGGCGCTCGAGTATGACCTAAAGATGGATCAGCGCCACAGCCAGCTCTAGGTGCATCGAGAACGCACCCTGACTGTATAGGCGTTCGGCTTGCCGACCTCTTCCGGAAGGATGACCAAGTCTGTGGGTATCCATGGTTGCTCGACCTGGAGGCGGTACTTCGCCGCGTCGTCGCGTAGCAACCCTTCGATGTTCTCGATGGGCAGCGCAATCTCGTAGGGGTACCTGCAATCGCGAAGTGAGACGTTCGGGCCTTGCGGCTGGCGCTGTATGGCATGACATTCGATGGTCAGACAAGCGGACCATAAAAGTCGTGTGACATGCCTCGAGTTCCCCGCTATCCTCATCTACGGACCAGCTGGCCTAAGACATACAGCCGGGTGAGCACAATAGATTGCATGAGAACTCGAGAAGTACGCACGTATGCCAGAATCGGAGTGCCCTCTCTCATCAGACCCTCTCTCAATCCGAGGCTCTCCCACAACTCGATGGTACCCGGCTGTATGACATCCGCGTTACCGTAGATCTGACCGTATTCTCTGTAAATATATGGCAGAGTTGAGCGTGGTACTGGTACGAAAAAAGATGTCAACGCACCGTCGCTCGACGATCATGGTGTCTACGCCGTATCTTGCCAGAGCAAGCGCGCACATAAGGCCGGAGGGACCCGCCCCGACGACGAGAACGTCAGTGTATTCAGGCTGGCCATCGAAGGGAACCTCCATGGTCGTGGTCGTGAAGAAAGTTGTAAAATCAAGTGGTGCCAGCCGGTCCGGCAAAGTCAAATATCTAGGTACGGGGTAATCAACCGGACTGTGAAGCCCCTGTCATGTGTATAAGTGTTTGACTCAGAGAAGTAGATCTCGGGCCTGATACCGCCGCACAGTCGGCATGCACGGAATAAGGGAGCAAATCACCGCGTCGCCCTGGCAAGCTCAATGGTTACAGCGCAGCAGCCAATGCAGAATATTTAGAAGCCCGAACATGGCCGTCGGCACTTGATGGATGGTCTCGACACGCCGGCGGCAAACGCGCGGCGGCCGCGGCACTGTGGGAATAGTTCGGGTCTTGCAGACGCGTGACGTCACGCGTTTTGCCAGCGGCCTCCTCTGCTTTGAGACGTTCTCTCTCTCCAGAACACTCTCTTCGGAACACCGACTCGGCAGAGGAACTCCGGGCCTCCCACTCTTTCGGACTGCACCGGATTATCAAAAGAGCCAAGACATAGACATTGCAGAGCAGTATGATTAATACGAACGACGCTGGACATTTCCGAAAGAAGCTGCATCCTGTACAACATCCGCAGGTGCGGCTTCCGCGAGCCGTGCACACGTAGCAGGTAACATTGACTATGATCGAAGGGACTGTATGAAACGAAGAGGTTATCAGAAGCTCACTTCGAACATGTTCACCAGCCAACGCGAGCACGAAGATCACGAAGCTCGCGAATGACCGTCCCAAGCCGGACACCGCGAACCTCGTACTTTCGCTCCCATTCTACCGCCTCGTTCTCTCGCTCGGTGACCTCCTGGCGAATGGAAATGGCCTCCTGCTTCCATCCCATCAATTCGCCGCGCTCCGATTCTAGTGTGCGTATTTGCGCTTGGAGATCCGGGATGTGCGCAAGTTCCGCCTGATGTTGCCCAACGCCTTGCTTTACAGCTTGAAGAGAAGCTTCCAACTCCCCCATGAGATCGTCTTCGGGCGGCAAAGTCGCAAGTTTAGCAGATGTCTCGGTCTGCTTCCTACTCCGTGCCACAGCCAACTCGGCTTTAGTCGCACGTAACTCCGCCCGCAGCGAGTCGAGGTCAGCTCGATCCTTCTCACTCAGAGCGGCTGTCATGTCGAACTTGACTCGCAAAGAGTTGAGTTCGGCATCTCTGCTGCTTACTAGCGCCTGCAGATCATCTCGCTGGGCTTGTGTCTTCTCACGAGCTAAGCGAGCAGTCTTCAGCTCATCGCGGACAGTCTCGAGCTCCTCCTGAACAGACTCATTCTTGGCCTCAGCAGCAACCCATTGACGGCGTAAGGCTTCTTGCAGCGCTACTGACTCTTCGACTTCCGCACGTGCGGTCTCCAGTTGCTGTCGCGCCGTCGCAAGTTCAGCATCCAGCATCTCGGGGCTTTGCGCGACCATCTTATCTCGAGATCGTAATGCCTGAAGAGCACGAAAGCCGCGTAGCACGACGTCGCGCTCGTGCTTCGCAGTGCGGTACTTCTGCTGCAAAGAAGTAGGATCGGTGTCAGTACTCACTGCCGGTGTGGAGTCGAGTTCGGGGCTAGTCGTGGAGTGGACGGTAGTGAGGCTATCTGAGAGTTTGTTGGTCTCCTGTATGGCGACGATGCTCTCGTATGGCAGTGGTACTGGGAATGAGATTGATGCTGCAGCGATATCCTGCCGTGACGGTTGTTCTGCTCGAGGCGAGAAGACCAATCTTGGTAGGCGCGGCAAAGATGGGACGCGAGGTCGGGCGCTCGTGCGGGCTGCGTTGTAAGGCATACCGGCTCTGACGATCGGCGCAGTACTAGTAGTAGGTTCATCATGTGCAGCTTTCTGCGAAGTATTACTCAATGAGATGTCAAGGGATGCACCAAGGTGTACCCACCAGTCTCTTGGCTGGTCGTTCTTCAGATGTCTTCTCTTCAGCGCTAGGGCCCTCCGGCAGTTCGTGTTGCGCATCGGATGATGTGGTTGAGCTCTGCATTTGAGAGCTGAGATCGAACGTTCTGCCGGCGCGTGGTACAGCTGGAGACTTGGTTATGATCGATAATCAATGGCAAAGTGAGAGTGCTACAACGACGCGAGGGCGTGAGGCAAGAAGCTGCCGGGCACCGTGAGTTATCACACACCAATCCTATACAGGAAGTGGTAGCACGTGGGGTCCTTTCCGAAAGGGTTCTAATTTCTCACGGAGGGACTTTATCGAGATGTGTCCGGTGCCACACAACGCAAGTATTTGGGCCGATAGTGACAGTATACTATACCACCCGAGCACGAAGCTCATTCATGTCGTGAATGAGCGCCGCGAGGCGCGTCCCGCGCGCTTCATACCGACGCTGCCACTCAGCTACCTCTTCCACTCGTTTCCTCACTTCATCTTCCAAACCGGTAGCTTTCAGTCGCCACATCTCACGCTCTGCCTCCAAGTCATTGTTCGTGGTTTCAAGCTCCGACATGTATGAGTCTAGCGTCCGCTCGCGGTGTTCCGTGTCGTGCCTTAGCGCATCGAGACTGGCATCGAGCTCAGCCATCAGAGGATCATCTGGCAATGGTGACATTGATACAGCTGTGCTTGAAGGCTCTGCGTCTGCGGCCAGTGATGCTTCGGGTGAGGTATGTTGTCCAACGTGGGCGCTTTGAGAGCCCGCTCGCGCCGCATCGAGTTCGCCACGCACGACTGAAAGCTCCTTCCGCACGTTGCCGAGCTCTTTAGTCAAGCCATCTCGTTGACGTCGCAGATCGTCCCGTGCACTCTCCGCCTCCTTGAGAGCACTTCGCGCATCCACCGCCTCCTCGCGCAACAAGTCTATGCTATCCTGAGCGCATGTTATTTGATCTTCCAGTTGGTGTTGCTTCGAGTGGAGCTCGGAAAGTTCTGAGAGCGCTTGTTGGTGTTCAACTAGGACCGTCTCCAGATCTACCTGTGATCCAGTCGGAGAACCACCGTTCTCTCGAGCGCGCAATTCTTGAACGGCTTTAAAGCCTCGAAGGAGAACGTCGCGTTGGTTCAGAAGCCCAGCGTAGCTCGGCTGGTGAGTGGACGGTGAAGATGGCGATCCTACTGCACCCTTTCGTTTTGTTCAGTTCAATCTCTGAAGTAGGGTTTCGGATGCACTGACTGTCGACTCTGAGCCTATTATCTTAGATAGAGCCAAAGTGGCCTGTATTGGGTCAATGCTAAGGGGGAAGGATCTCGATGCGGGCGTGCTGTATTCAGTTTGAGTTTGGGATGGGGTGAGATTTAGGTTGGTAACCCACGTAGAGCCGGGAGCGGAGCCTGCTTCGGGGTCTGAGGCACTTGTGACCCGCGACAGGTTCAGACCAACAGAAGAACGGGATGGTCCCGGTTTGATCCTAGAGAATGAGACGGAGAAGTCAGGACGGATGCGGGGTGCCTTCTCGAGTGAGTTGTTGGCGTTGAAGCAAGCGTACCTCCGATTGGGACCTGACGGACTTTTGCTCGGAGAAGCACTGAGACTCTGAATCCTCTAGCATTCGATGAGAGGGGGTGACTATCGAACATTATGTCACAGCGTACAGGTCGTTTCGCTGGCCGCTCATCAGGAGGGCGAGTGTTACCACTACTACTGCTGCCGTTATGTTCGACCGTCGCTGGCGTATCCATAACCTCTGTCAAGTGAGACGGCGAGAGTGATTCTCAGAGAGGACGAAACAAGAGTACAATTATACGCAGTGCAGACTGTCGACGTGGTGGTCGATGGATAAGCGCCGGCTTGATCTGTATGTAGCAAACGCGCCGCACGTGGCGATAGGGGCATCAAGACGTCGACGCGATCCGCGACGCGACGCGAGCGGCGACTTCCAAGTTTGTCCCCAACCTTCACCTAGTCCATCCTGAAGCCACCCAGTCTCTGGAGACTGGTCCTCTCCGCTACCCTATCTTCCTTTTTCAGGTCTAACTCATTAGATCTTCAACGCGCTGCCTCTATATTTTTGCGCATAGATCGCCATTCACGAGTCTATCATGGACTACTCGAACCCCTTCCCACCGGGCACAACACCCGAAAACATAACGCCCGAGCAAATGTCCAAAGCCATGAAAATGATGGACATGCTCTTCATGGGCGCGTCAATGGGCGGCGACAACCACCGCGGCCAAGAAGGGTTCGAAGATCTGCTAGGAAAGAGATACCGCATCGCCGACGACCACTACAAGGACAAGATCCTGGCCGAGCCGGGCAAGCATGTCGATCTGTTGCGTACGCTGTCGAAGAAGGTTCCTGCGACGATGGAGCGCGTTACGCTGAGTATTGCGCTGTCGAATGTGATTGTGTTTAGGCCGCCGAGGAAGGTGTGGGACGAGCTTGTGAAGAAGAAGGTGCATGAGCTGTTTTATGAGTTGCTGATGGACGACGGGATGTACGATGGGGATGAGGTGCGTATTTGGTGTTTACTCCTCAGTATCGACTATATTCACACGTAGTTTAGGACTATGTGCACGCGATCCATCAGGGCCTCTACAACATGGTGATGATCTCCGGTATCTCTGGTCCATGGAAGGACGAAAAGATCGTACGGTGCGTTCGCATTACTTAGACGGGCTTATGTCTTTCCTGACTTGCTCGCGCTTTTTCGTACACAGATGGTTCCTCGATCACTGCGCAGACCTCTACGAGAAATGGTGGGAGCACCGTCACCTGCTCGAGGAAGATGCGCCATGGTCGAACGTCTGTTGGCGGAGGTACGCTACCTGACCAGACCCCGCATTTAGACCTTTTGGCTGAAGTTCTTCCACACAGGACGATGCAACGCGCCGTATTTTGCTACGCAGTTGTAGCACGCGATAGGTATGTGCCATTCCATCTTCATCTTCTATCCCAAAGACGGATATCGCGGATTGGGCAACTGTATGGCCTGCGCTTCCTCGTGGGATCGGCATACGGCCCGAGCTCGGTGGCCCCATCACTCACACGCTACCCGTTTTCCCATCATGATTACTGCATTGATGCTGAGATGATACGTATAGGAGACGCCTGTCGGATTTCGAGTCTAGCAAACATGCACACCTTTCGCTTTGGTGCTGGCAGTTCATACCCGCATACGATCCTCACCATACAGGTAACGCATACTCGCTCTGCAATACAATGAATCCGCTGACGCTGGCGGCCCATAGAAACGAGCACCTGCGCGCTGGACATGATCATCTACAAAACCACCCAAGCCCAACAAAACGCCTTCATCCAGCGCCACGTGATCGACGGCTTCGGCGCCTCCGCCTTCGTCCGGCGCTTCAAGCGCGAGCTCAAGGAGCCCGCGATCCTCGACGGCGACCTGAAGATCGCGATGAAGATGCTGGACGTGTTCTGTGCGCACTTGAAGCAGACGCAGCGCGCGCTCGTGCAGCAGGAGGTGCATGTGGATGTTGTTGCTGCGTGTGAGCGGCAGACGCAGAGGGGGGACGCGGGGTGTGAGTGGGATGTTTATGCGCGGGCTGCGGCGCCGCTTGAGTGCGTACACATCGCCTGTGATGTTAACTTCAACGAACGCTGATTTGGGGTTGTGTGCAGGACAATTATTGAGCAGAAGAGGATCATGTACGATCTTATCACGATGCACGGGTTCGTCAAGTTCATGGCGCGCGCCGCTATCCTCGCTGCACGCTTCGCGTCCTCAGACGACGCCGAGCCGATCGGTACGTCCCATCTCTCACCATCTCCCAAGCCCAGTCATATTCATTCAACAATCACTGCATGTATAGACGGCTGGGAAAAACTCTTCCACCGCCTCGCCCAGCTCCCGTCCGACAACGACAAGCTCGACGGCGGGCTGTACCGCGACGACCTCCGGCGCATCCTCAAACCCATCCACTCTTCCACCCTCAGCCAGATAAAAAAGCTGAAGCCGACGGCGGGGCAGCGGCGCGCGGCGAAGATGTGGGCGGGCTTTGGGGAAGCCGTGTTCGGGTTTGTGGGCGAGATTAGGAGCAGGGAGGATTTGGAGGAGGTGAGGAGGAAGAGGGCTGCTCAGGCGAAGAGTGGTGGTGAGGGTGCGGAGGGTGCCGGTGGGGAGGCAGAGAAAGGGTTGTGTTCGTTGGTTGATTGCCGCTATCATGATGTGGCGCCGCCGCATGCGTTGAGCAAGTGCTCGGGATGTGCCAGCGTGTTTTACTGTAATGGCACGTGCCAGATGAAGTACGTTTATTCTCCGAGGCACGACAAGCGGAGAGCTAAACTGATGTATGTTTTGTAGGGATTGGAAGGCTGGGCATAAGGGTGTGTGCAAGCAGCTGAAGGCGCAGAAGGCTGGTGCGGCTTAGATCTGGTGAGAGGGGAATGTCGTGCTGCTGGCAGTGCTTAGACTATGTATCTTGTATCTATGATGGTTTGTAGCGGTAGCTGTTGTAGCTCTATCACTGTTGTATCACGTAGTTGGCGCCGCCGCGCCTTCGAATTCAGGTCTCGGGCCGAATGTCCCGATTGTACTTATGTAGGACGAATACGACTTGTTCACGACGACCATCGGTTGTGTGTATGGAAGACTATTCTGCTTTTGTTACGCACAGCAACTTCAGCGCCGGCCAAAGGAGTACGGCGGGGGAGATCAACATGTTCCTAGTGCCCCTATCGCCACGTGCGGCGCGGCAGAAGCAAAAGTTATGGAAGACGTGCGCTCGTTGGTTGAGCACGTCTGCTCTGACTCTCATGTCCTCCGCACCGAATTTATCATCATAGTTCAACCAAATGGCTACGCGCGGCGAGCCACCCCGAAAACGCGCTAATACGCGCCAAACGAGCGGATTCGCGGACGGAGATGCGGTGCGGGAGGCGCTGCAGAATAGTAACCCGGATGAAGTTGCGCATGGTGTGTACTACCCCATATCCACTACACAGATAGTATATTAACCTGTACATAACAGCTCTCGTCACGTTACGCAACCAACTAACGATCAAACCGCACTCGCCCCCCATCGCGCCCTCCGACGCGCGCCTCACGCTCCTCCACTCCTACCTCTCCTCCCCCCTCACGCGCGACGCCAAACAGATATTCGACATCTGGTCCTGCACCCCCTCCAAGTCACCGCAACAGCTCGCCGCGCCGATCTCAGCCTTAGCAGCCATCCTCAACCTCCTCACGTCGCACTACACGTTCCACGCGCTCGGTCAGCCCATCGTCAAAGCTTTACTGTCGACGCCCTGGATACATCAGCTGAATGCGTATTTGGGCTCGAGCAGTAACGAGCTCGTTATTGCGGCGTTGAAGTGTTTGGTCGCGTGCGCGGGTTTCGCGGGGGGGACGGAGCAGCGCGCGCTGATGGACGCGTTTGCATGGGAGAGCAAATCTTTACACAAACTGCTGTCTATGCGCAGGCGCCCCTCCTCCTCCTCCTCACACAAAAATGCTACTCCGGACCCGCTCGCGCAGCCGGACATTCGCACGCTCTATATACTGCTGCAGCTGTCGTTCCTAAGCCCGACCTCGAGCGCAGCGGTCAAAATCGCGCTGTTATCCGGACACCGCGAGCAGTTCGCCGCGCTGTTCAAAGGGCTGCATCAGGACCCGCCGGGGGTCGTGCAGAGGGTGCTCGAGGTGGCGTGGGGCGGCGCGTGGGGCGACGCGCGCGTGCCGCGCGCGGTGAAGGTCGGCGTGTTCGGCGAGGGGACGCTGGCGCACGTGAGTTTATTCCTTCATTCATACCATCTTCAGTAGAAGCTGAGAGGTGTTTATGTTGGGTAGATTGCGAAGCTGTACGAGCGCGAGCGGGCGGAGGACGACGCGCCGCATGCGCCGGCCGAGCTCGCGCATCATTTTCTGCTGGCGCTGTGCACGCACCCCGGCTCGGGCGTCTGTTTTCGCGATCGGGGGTGGTACCCGCGCGACACGTCCACCAACGAACCCAGCACCTCCCTCACCCCCGACGCCACGGAGGAATTTGAGGGCGAAGTCGAATCGGGAGCCAAGCCCCAATCCCGCATCCACAACCGCATCCTCGCCAGCCTCCTCAAATCGCTCCGACCAGCCGACGACGCGCGGCAGCGCGAGCTGAGCCTGCGCATACTGGCCGCGTGTCCGGAGCTGGTGGCGGGGTACAGCTGGCCGGCGCTCGAGCCGAGGTTGTCGTCGAGGTGGCTGGCGAATGTCGCGTTTATGCGGGAGGTCGTGGGGATGGGCGTGCCTGCTGACTCCTTTTTCTTACCCGGAACGCAAAAGGAGAGGGAGTACAACCCCTCCCCGCCGCCCCTCGCCACAATCCTCGCCAACATCCTCCCCCTCCCCGCGCTCAAAACGCACCTCACGAAAGGCCTGCAGTCGCCCGCGCCGCTCGTGCAGCACGCGTCGGCCCTGGCGCTGGCGAGGTGTCTGGAGAAGTATGTGAGGGTGCGCGAGGCGATGGGGGGCGTGGGCGAGGTGTTGGGCGAGGGCGAGGGCGGGCGGTGGAGTGGGAGGGCGAGGGAGGTGAGGGAGGGGGTTAGGAGG